GTCTCATTTAGTTGTTCTTGTAGGGAGTTTATTTGTCTTTCATAAAAAGTAGACTGACTTATTTCTTCATGAGGTAAATCTTTTTATAATTATAAAAAAATTTTTTGTCCTTATACTCTTATAACGGGATACATAATGAATGTCATTATAACGAGAGTAAATTTATATTTATAAAGTATGTTTTTGAAAAAATGTCACTATAACGAGATTGTCACTATAACGAGCTATCCTTATAACGGGAGTGACCTGTAATATTAATATCACGTCCGTGTAACGTCTAGATTATAATAATAATAATAATAATTAATTTTTTCGTAATGTTTAGATTTTACAAGAGTCAAGTTTACAATAATTTAAGGCATTCTTCTTATTCAATAAGAAATGTAAAGAATGAATCAACAAAAATAAAATTTTTTGATGGTTATTATTCGCAAAGAAATTTTACGCAATTTAAGCAAGAACTACAAAAAGAACAAATAAAAAATGAAAATAGAATTGAAATTACAGATCGGGCTGTTAAGGTTTTTATAATCTTTTATTTTATAATACTTGCTTTTGAAATATATAATGTGGAAATCTAATGCTTTATAATAAAAAGAAACTTTTATCAATAACGAAGCATGATAATGATCACAACAACAATAAGAGTAATGCATTGAGAATAAGAGTAGATTCTGGTGGATGTCATGGATTTCAATATTTTTATGATTTAGTGAAAACTAATTCATTAAAAGAAGATGATGTGTAAGTTGTCATATATATAATTATATAAAATTTATTATTACGATCTAAAAAAAAATGTTATGTTATTATATAGAGTTTTTGATAAGAATGGAGCAAAAGTGATAATAGATGAAATATCTTTAGGATTAATTAAAGGTTCAAAAATAGATTATACAGAGGAATTAATCGGGTCACAATTCCAAGTAATAGATAATCCGCAAGCAGTGTCTGGCTGTGGGTATGTAGTTATTAATATTACTGTTATTGTTGTTATGCTATTGTTTTTATATTTATATTACAGACGGAAATATAATAATATAATGATGATTTTTAGGTGCGGAATTAGTTTTGAGGTTAAGTTGTGAATAAACAATTAGAATTAAGGCAAGTTATTTATTTATTTATAATATTTATATGTATTTAATTTTTTTGTAATTTGTTTAAAAGTAATAAAATATTATTATTATTATTAAGATTAAAAACAATAAAATTTCTCATTGAAAACATATCGCCAAGATTTATGACAAAATTGGTATAGGCTAAAAAATGAATGAATTTTCACTGCTATTATTATTTTTGTTTGTTGCTTAATAAATGCTAACTATTACCAATCAACCATATTGTTATTATTATATCATTAATATTGAGATTATCATTATTAACATTAGGGGCAATGGGATTATTATTTTCATAAATAAAATAAAAATTATTTAATAATAGAGTATAAAATCTTTCTTCAAAATAAAAAGATTTAATTTTATGGAATAGCTCTTTGATCTGCATCGTTCATCTCTGGCTCAATTCTCTGAGGGTTATCTCCCATTTCACCTAACTCTGACCTGTCAATTCCATCATCTTCCTCATTAGATCTAACCCTCAATTTCAATACAGGAATTTGATCCATAGCAAGTAGTATTAACAAGGTTATAACAAAACTATAACCGAACCCTGCCAGTACAACAAATAACTGATATAACAATTGTATGAAATTACCATCCAACCAACCACCGTTTATTCGAGTGAATCCGTCTAATAAAGCAATCTCTTTTTGTGCAAATATACCGGTCAACAAGCTCCCTAAAGCACCACCTATACCATGTATTGCAAACACATCCAAAGCATCATCATATCTCCATCTATCTCTTAATTTGACAAGAATGTTACAAATTACTCCTGGAAAAATACCAAAAAGCAACGATGATGATATGCTAATATACCCAGCAGCAGGTGTAACGCACACCAATCCTGCCAATGCACCTGAACAAAACCCAACCACAGAGAATCTATGTTCGAATCGGTAATCTATCAACATCCATGTTAAACCACCTATTGATGCTGCTAGGTTTGTCACAGTACATACTAAGATTGTTCTTGTATCAATTGATAATACACTTCCACCATTGAAACCAAACCAACCAAACCAAAGCAGTGCAGTACCTAGGATGACATTCATGATATTATGAGGTCTAAAATCACCTATACCAATGTCTTTTCTTGGACCTAATACATATGAATAAGCCAGAGCAGCAGCACCTGATGAAATGTGTATTGGTGTACCGCCAGCAAAATCAAGTCCGCCCAAATCTGCAAACCATCCATTATCCGACCAACACCAATATGCGATAAAATCATAAACCAAAGTTGTCCAGATCACAAAGAATACTAATGTTGGCATGGTCCTAGCTCTTTCAGCTGATCCGCCTATTATCAAAGCTGGTGGGAAAGCCGCAAACATACATTGAAATATGGAATGAGCCAACTGAGGAATCTTTCCATTTTTATATACCTTGGTCACAACGCCTCTTAAAAGTGCATGTTCAAAATTGCCAATAAATGGGCCACCTGTCGGACTAAAAGCTAAACTATACCCTATCACGAACCATTGAAGTGAAACAATAGGAATAGACAAAATACATATAAATACAAGTGATAGGGCGTTTTTCCTTCTTGCCAGACCACTATAAAAAAATCCAAGACCTGGTATCATCAACCATACTAATACAGTAGACAACAACACCCATCCAATATTTGCCCCCATGCGTAGACTATCGTCTAGTGGGGTTTGTTCTACTTGCTGTAGTGTTGGTGGCGTTGACATGTTATTATTATTAATTATTATTATTTATCAAAGTGCAATTATTATTATCGTTTATTATTATTATTAATTTCTTTTCTTTGATTGTAATTTTGTCATTAAAGAGAACTTGAGGAATTGAAGGTTGGAATTTTTAATACGATACATGCTTATTTATATGCAATTTTATGAACACGTTAACATAAATTTTTCATCTTAAAAAATGATATTCCCTTTTCATATTTTTTGAATACTTTAAAAAAATCATTTTGTCATTGTTTTATTTCCGTACTTGTAGAAATTGTTTTTTTTTTTTTTGCTTATCGTAATTTTTGGTGTAATTGTTTACTAGGTAAATCAACTCCAGGAAAATATATAAATATTGATTTTTGAAAACAAAACATTCATTCTACCATTTTTCTTTTTCGTTGTACTTCTTTTATTGGGGTGTCCCTACATTATATGACAGTTTTTTTGACGATCTGTCTTTTCGATAGTAAACTCTTTAAAGAATAGATACAGAGAAATAGGATAATAAAGTAATAGAGCTCTTTTTTTTATTTTAATATAAACAATGGCATTTATTTTAAGCTAGAAAATCAAAGTAAAAGTTGTGAATATATGTTACAAAATTTTATGTAAGTAAAATTGTAAAAAGCTCTCTATAAGTTTAAAGAGCACCAAAAAGTGAATCTAAAACATAAACTTTTGTTTGAATATATCATAATAGTTTAAGAGTTATTTTGAGTTTTGCGACGTTTGCCAACGATGGTCACCAATTTGTTTTTTTTGTGGCTCCAAAAAATAATGATCGACTATGTTTGTAAATCATATGATCTATTACATTGAAACCAAACGGAAGAATCTATAATGTCACTGAAGCTCGCACTTATTCTTACTTGTCCTTCTCATCGAGGAATACAGTAGGACCTTTAAGTGTAATTTAGAACTTTTTTTTATTTGATATTAATATATATATATAAATTTGTCGATCAAAATTTATTTAATCTTAGGATTTGATCAAGATTTATTTTACAAATCTTACCCTCTAAGATTTACGAATCAAAAAAAATAAATAAATATTTTATAAATATTCAAAATAAATACAAATAATTATGAATATCTGAAATAATTATGACTGTCCAAAATAATTACAAATATCACAAATATTTGAAATAGTTACAAAATAAATTGCATATCCTTCATTTTCCACTTCAAAGATTTTCAAGGTTATCAAATTAATATTTAATTTGAGGATAAATTTAATCTTAAACCAAACCAAACCAAACCCTTAATCTAATCGGATTTTAATTTCTGAGGACATTATGTGAATATACATAATACATACAAATTTGGTAATTAATTGCGGTAATTTCCAAATTTGATTAGTACGCCACGGAACATTCGATTATTCGATTTTTATTTATTTATATTATTATTATTATTATTATTAATATTAACAAATAATTCGAATTTGAATTTGAGTTTGAGTTTGAATTTGAATTTGAATTTGAATTTGAATTTGAATTTGAATTTGAATTTTATTATTGTCTCTAAATAAAAAATTACTTTTTGGATTGGGTCATATTTTTAAGTTTCTATTCGAATATTATTCGCGAATTTTTCAAAATGAATGTCTCTTGGCATGCATTACAATGAGAAATTGTATTACCCCGGTCACAATTATAGTTTATCTAAAACCCGTAATTAGGGGAGGAACTTTAAAACCGAAATAAATGCTAAATCCAATTTGGTTGTTATTTTTTTAATCATTTATTCAAATTGCTACAAGTGGTTTGGTTCTACAGAAAGAATTTTCAAAAAAACCATGTATTCAAAAGTAAGATGCAAATTAGGCAGAGATCTGTTTAGCATCAAAATTCCGAGGGATTGGTTTTTTTCTTTGATAAACTCCTAATTTAATATTTAATCGCTTACTATGGTGCCGGATACTCTTCTTTATTTAACAATAAAGTTGGTGTCTGCAACTAAGAAGTACAACCAGTTGCACGATTTAGAATATAAGAGTTGTGTAATATAGGAATCTGCAGAATTTCAAATCAGTACAGACACCAACTTTATTCATTTTGAATCAAGACTACAATCATTGAACTAAGATAAGTTATCAGGATTGTGCAACATATAGGATAATAATAGAATATCATCATATTCTGTGAATGATTTTTTGCCAACTTAATACAAGATCTTAGCAGAAAACAATTAATGATGCTGTGTTTTTAAATTATTTAAACGAAATAAAAACAAATGAATATTCATTTGATTGGTAGCTTTCATGGTCTTCATTCAGCTTGAAAACATTACAAGGATTGGTAGTATTTTCAAGATCGCCATTGAGCTCGAAAACATATAAAAAATATTTATTTTAAGGACATTATTGAGCTTGAAAACATATATGTGATATTTGATTGGTCACTGTTGACTTGAAAACATATATGGAATATTTGATCAGTAATTTCGAGGTCACCGTTGTTGAGCTCGGAAACATATAAGGAGGGTAGCATTTTTGAGGTTATCATTAAACTCAAATATTTTAATGGCAAAATTTTCAAGGCCACACTACCATTAAGCTTGAGAACATGTAAGGAATATTGGTTGGTAACATTTTCAAGGTCGTTCATTCATTGAGCAATGTGATATAAATTTAGAATTGATCTACAAAAATAACCAATTAACTAATTTGCTTTTGTTGCTTCTGATTGGATGAATAAAAATCGCGTATATTTTGGCAAACCAAACAAATATTTTCTTTACAGTAAAATAAATGGCAACTCGCAAAAAAATATTAATGTTGAGAAAAAGGTTAAACAACAACAACAATTATGATAATAATGACGACTTGAACAATGTCTTTAATGATAATGAGGATTTTAGTAATAATAATAAATTTTATGGTATATGTGAAAATGGTGGTGATATTGATAGCAGTGAAAATGAAACCAATGATAGAAAAATGGTAACAACAAATATGGAAATAGATGAAATCAAAATTTTGAGAGAATCTTCTTTACATAATAATAATCAGGATAATAATAATAGCATTGATAGTAATAAATACAATAGTAAAATTAATAGTAAGAAATATGATGGATATGATAGAAATCAGTATTGGAATTATAATGAATATTATTTTTCTCATGATTTTGGAATTTTTTCAGATAATGTTGATGTAAAAAGGCCAGCATTACCGAAGCAAAATAAACCAACGAGTCAACAAACACCTTTACATCATCAACGTCAACATCAACTTCAAGAATCAACAAAAATCAAACCACCATCAACAGCAATGCCAATATCATCAAAATCACAAAAATCATGTTTAAGATCTCAACAACAGCAACAACAACAACAACAACAAAATAATAATAATAATAACAATAATAATCAAAGAAGTCATGTGAAGAAGAATGATAAAACATTTCTTTTTGATATACTTTCATTGGTACCAGCAAATGTTATGCCTTATATTATTAATAAAGATGATTTGGCATTCCGAAATAATGAAATTGATTCAAAGGGAAACTTGAAAAGGAATAAAAGCTATCCATTAGAGAGACTATAGAATTAGGTTAAATTTTTAATCTGATATAATGATCAATGTTAATAATTAATTTTGTTAATATTTTTCCTCCAATTAAAAAAAATATTAATAAACCAAATCAATTGATTGATTTATCTTCTCTTCCAAAATCCTTTACCATGACTAACTAAAATTTCAGCACCTTTTTTAATTTTAATTTTGTCTATTTTGGACATAGTTTTTTGATATGCCATGATAATCATTTATAAATTTTGTTTCATTCATTACCTAAACAATGATTAAATTATTAAATAAAAACTGGTTGTTTGTAAAAAATAAAAAGAACCTTGTTTAAATCCATCAATGCACAAATTATTAATAAAGTAATAATACATAATTATTATTTGAATTTCTTTGGATATTACTTTATCATTATAACTTATCCATTGCCTGAATAAGCTGGATGATCTTTTTGATCTTTTAAAGATTTTTTGTTTTAATTTCAGGGTTTGGCAATGTTGTTGTTATTGCAAGAAGATGTAAATGGATGAATAGAATGAGAATTGATCAAAAACATGTCATATGAATATAGACCATTATAATGTTGATCACTTTTAAATACAGTTGAAAAGAATTCATTTTATTTTTGATGATTTCTTCTTTCATTAACTTTCTTATGTTTGTATTTTTTCCTTGTTTGGGATTTTAAAGAATCAGGTTGAGGATTATGATTATTAATTTCATTAGAATTAGAAAAGTCCCTCTTGGTTAGCTTTCTTTTTTTGTGATTAATGACAATAGATTGATGGTTTTTCAGAATCATGATTATTTGCTTCTTCTATGTGATCATCATCATGACTTGAACTCTTTTTAAAGTTTCCTATTTATTAAATTTGAAATTAAAAATATTTTAATTGTATAAATACATACACACGTATATATGCATGTGTTTTACCTGAAATGTTCATTTATTTGTAAAGTATTCTTGAGTGTTCATTTGATTAATTGTCCTACAAGATCTGAATCTTTCTTTGACTTTATTGATATAAAACCTGTTTGAATTAATCATCATCATTGTTGTTGTTGTGAATCATCTTGATTAAGTGCTTGTTTACTTTGCTCAGTGCCTATATAATAAAATGAATGAATAATAATTATACATAATTGTATTTGTATTTGTAATTTGTAAGGCACCAAATGAATTGAATCAGGTTGAATCAAACCAGATTCCTAAATTTCTTTTAATGTCATATTAATAGGTTTCTATTTGAATAAGGTTTATTCAAATGTTTTGTTTTATTTGTTATGAATTTTGAGTATTTGAATACATTGAATGTTTATTTGAATAAAACAAATAAGAATTTGTATTATGAATAGAAACTACATATTAATATTAATATTAATATTAAAAAAATGATACAATTTACAATTGCACAATTCATGAATGACAATAATTTCATTATTGAAAATGATGCCTCTACAATTACTTCTCAACAGGCATGGTGCAATGTGTTCAAAGAAGAACAAGAACAAGAAGTGAAATATGGAACCATTTCACAGTTGTAAATGAAAAAGCCAAATATTTTTTTGACTTTGAAACCATTTATTTCCAAAGGCACCCTTTTAAAATTGTGCAGTATTCCAATTATTTCATATGGCATATATTTGAATTAGATTTGAACCAATTCAATCCAATTATTTATAGGTTCGAATTACATTGATTTATTCAGACCCTTAGCAATTTGATTTTTAGAACTATCTAAATTTATGAACATTGCAATTCTTTTTTTTTCAACAGTTTGCTGTATTTTTTGTCCTTGCTGGCTGACCATAATATATTAAGCTATAAAAGTATATGGTTCGAAAATTTTTTGGATTGTCATAAACATCAATTTTGGAGCTTATCTTTAAAAGGCTTCAGGGCCCATAAAAATATGTAATTAAAAAATAAAACTGTAATTGATTAGAAGAATAAAATTACTGAAGAAATTTTTGAAAGTTGTATAAAAATTTAGTGTGTTCATGAAATTTCAGCACTCCATTTTAGGTAATTACTGGCAAAGTCAATACAGATCATGTGATACGTGACATTTATTAATTCAAAAGTTATTGCACAAAAGTCTTCGGTTCAACGGGGCTGACTATGTATATGTTAAAAGAAGAGAGAATTTTTTTTTATAAATGATTTTTGATTAAAGTTTCATTGTTACCTGAATGTTTTTATTTTTATATAATAAATAAAAATGTGTAAATGCTTAAATATGACGTGAACCATATTATTAAATTTTCAAAGTCGGGTGATCATTTTGACATTTTAGTAACACCAAAAATTTTACAAAATTAAAAAAAAAAATGTCCAATAAATTAGATTATTTAATGTAAATTTTTTAAAAAAATTCAATCAATTAATTAATACTTTAGATTTATTATTTATTTACTGAATTTGTTTGTTTAGGGACTTTACAATTACATTTCCCTCTTCAAGATTAGCAAAAATAGCTGAAAAGGTTTTAAATGTTGATAAAGAGCTTAGAAGTGACCAAGTTAAACGAAGTATTATTGCACAAGATGATAAACTTATTATGCGAGTAAATTTTTAATATAACTTTTTTTTTTTTAAAAATTTATTAATAATTTAATAATTTAATAATTTATTATTATTAGAAATTTTGAATGTACAAATATAAAAATGTTGAGAGTTTCTGTAAATTCTTTTTTTGATATGTTAATTATAGTGGTTGAAACTATAGATGCATTTGATATAATCTAAAATTATTAATGATTAAAATGATTTATTGCATGAACAATACATTTGCAAAACCAATATAAAATTTATAACACTGTTGATTATATGGTCATTGTGGATATAAAAATAAGAATGTTGAAATGTTGAAATAGGATATCTTGAAACTGACCAACCAGATTCCTCCTCCAATAGGCAATTGCAAGATCATAATAAATTGAATAGACTCATCATTAGGAAATTTTTTCTGACACAGATTCATGTAATTATTGTAATTATTACACTATTTACATAAGTTTACAGCTGGTCCCACAATATGCAATTATTACATTCAGTGTAAATATTACATAATTTTTAATGTAAATATTATAACTTTACATATTAAAGCTTATGGATGTAATATTATGGCGGGAAAAATTTCTTGATGACAAAAGATTCAATTGATGAAACATGATTATCCAAAAATGATAGATTTTTTAGAAAAACACATGTTAACAATATTTACAATTGATATCGTTGATGATTCATTAAAGGTCCACACCATGCAAAAAGAATCAGGCTTATACAAAAACCATTTGCTCTATAAATCCAGACAATGTTTACTCGCTAGTCCATGTGTTGTTAACCTTTAGAAGTGCGATAGCACGTACCATATGTAAAATAATACACTATTGATGATTCAATGGAAATTATGTCAAGTATTTTATCATCTTTGGATATGTCAATAACATCATGACAAACATCAACAGTATCAACCATTACTTCCCCACCAAGTTCACCATCTACTCATAGACCACAAAAAAGAAACTCGGACAATTTCAACAAAACTAACTGTTATGCATTTTCATGTAGATATATTTTTTCTATATTAATAAACTGGCCCTGGTAGTTGAGATTTACATATATTCATATGAAAAATAAGCTAATTAATTGCTACACATATTGAGAATATTCAATTTGAGATTATTTACCTCGAAATATCTAGATACCTCTCCATGATCAAATCCTGCATCCACATCTTATTGATTATAATTATATTTTCATTTTTCATGATGTGCATATTGTAAAATAGTAATTTTATGGATCACAAAAAATAATAAATCGGAAATGATTTATGACAAAAAGAAAATCAGAAAACTGATCAAGAATTCAAATCAAATTCATATTATAATTTTCTTTATTTTATTAATAACAATTCAAACTTTATAACAAATCGGAAACTCTAATTTCCTGTGCATTCTAGTTAGAATTTCAAGATAATTTGGTTCATTATCCGGGATAATTATTGAATGACGAATAAGAAAATCAATTATAACTTTACAAAAATTAAGGTAATTAATTATTAAATAATTAGTAGAACTGACAATTTAACAATTATTAAACTAAATATATATATTTACCAAGTGCACAATTCGGTTTAAATTCACCATCCTTAATTCGTTTAATGACCTTTAATTGATTGTGGTTGTTTATGAGAGAAAATATTAATAATAATAAAATATAAAGTATAAAAATACACTATATCATATACCTCATCAGTATCCCACAAATAAAAACTATCAACTTCACCATCAAGTGGCTTAGGTACAACATCTTCTGGCAATTCAAGGTCATAAACATATCTATTACACAGTTTTTATAATGAAGTAAATAATCATAAATATTAAAGAAATTAATATAATAATATAAATATGAAACTTGCTGTATTTCTGGTTGTAACCCATCATCACTAGATATAAAATAACTAATTGCGCCAACAGGTTTAGCTTTTTCTGCAATGTTTCTTTCAAGACTAGCTTCTTCAATTGCTTCTTTGATAACACATTCTTGTAATGACATTTTATATGGCAAACCACCTGCAACCGTATTATCCAACATACCTGGCCATGTTTGTTTTGTTGAGGATCGTTTTGCAATCCACATTTTAATTTTATTATTGTTGTTGTCATCTTTGGTTTTTAAATATGCAGACAAGTGTATTCCATATGTTACCACACCAAACAATGGTGAAGCACTACGTTCAATTAAAAATGCAACTTCGCCATTGTCTCCATAAACTGGATATAATTCATTCCTCCAGCCTTAATGATATTTGATTGTTTTTTTTTAAAAAAAAGAAAAAAGTAATTAATTCAAGCAACTTTTTTTAATTAAAATTACCTTCCAACCGCTTAATTTTTTTTTCTTGCCTCCATTGTTCAAAAAGTTTTTGAACAGCTTCAGTTCTTTTTTCAAAAGTATTTAAATGAGGTCGAAATTTTACATAATTTGAAGAACCTGCATCATCATCATACTGAATTGAGAAAGGTTTTGGGTTTTGTTTATCGTTATATTCTTTTAATGTTGGTATTATTGATGGTAAAATTAAGCCTAATTTAGTTGTTTCAAAAATAAGTGGAACTACGTTTTTATATTTATTATCGGAATCATTGACTAACTCATTTGGATATGGGTAACAATCACAATTTTTTACAATGTCATAAAATGTAAATGGTGGATACATAATGATTTTTCACTTTACATCGATTAAAAGGATCGTCCATCTTTTTACAAAGTTGTAGTAATTAATTTTTAAAGTTCATTTATTATACCATTTTAAAGCAGCTTTTCAAACAAATCATTGGATTAAAACGTAATATTAATTCATTTAAATAAATAAATAACAATAATAAATAAAATTATTATCTTTAAAGTTTTTTTGAAATTATGTATTGTGCGTTTAAAATAAGAAACGTGGGTATTTGTAAAAGTTCAAACATTTACTTTTCAAAAACCAAAGTTTTTATTCTGAAGTTTGGATGATACTTATTCTAAGAAACACGTATGATGTATAATATAATTTATCAAAAAATCAACATATGATGAATAGATGAGCGAACGAACGAACAAATGAAAAATGATATTTTATTTATTTCTGTGGTATTTTAAACAACACAAAGTGATATCTGCCAAATAAACGGGTTTTTAGATCTTCGTTAAAAATTTATACAATTCACACGCAACTTTTTTTTCTTTGTAATTAATGACAATGTTGATTTTGATGTGTGTGATGTATGAATGAATTTTTGGATAATAACGATGATGACAAAGATTGAAGTGCAATATAAACATGAGTGTCTATTTCATTATTATTATTTAACCCTTTAATTAAATCCCATGCAAGATTTTAGCCTGAACTCCTTATAAGTGATAAATAAAATCAATAGTGGTATTATTTTTATTTTGCCTGCCAACATTATCACAAGTAATCCTTAAATACTTTTCGCCATTATTCAATTTCTTGATTCTATCAAAGATCATACTAAGTCTGAGAGCAGTTTTGAATATTAAGAAGTTTGGAGAATTTGAATTTGGTGAATCTAATAAGTTTTCACGAAATTGTGATAACAACTTAACAGCCTCTTCAAACCTAATGTTATCATATTCTAAATAGATCATTTATTCAATACATATATGTTTATGTATTTAATACAAAATTAATAAAAAATCTATGTGTATATTGATATATATTACATTTAATATGAAATAAATAAATAAATCTATTCATACATAATTGATACTAAATCAAAAAACTAACCATCATATTTAGTAGTATCTTGATACTGGTGTTTGTAAATTTTCATATTTACATTATGGTTTAATGTGCTATCTTTTTTTATAAGGATAATTGCAAAAATGCCTTTAATACTCAATTGATAGAAGATATCTTTAAGTTGTTCTTCATGGGTTATGTTAATTGTATTAATGAAGAATTTCGCCTTGTAAAAAGCATTCACCACTTGAAATAAAAATTTTCTAAATTATAATTAACAAATTTACAATGATGATAAATTTCAAATAAAAAAAAATAAAAAGATTTCTTACTGACTCCTCAACTTCATGAAGCAAAATTATTTGGATTTTATCAAATTGGTGTTTAAGTAATAATGATTTACCATCAGATATAGAAGTTGGTTGCGTTTGTAACAATTGTTTTCTTTTAAAAAATTTTGAAAGTGAAACTAAGAGCTCTTCAAGAAGTAAATTTTTAATTATTTGATCGGATGATGTTGAAATATTTTGTAACCATTCTCCAAAGAGCTTGAGAGACTTGGAATTGTCTTCATTGTGGTCTTCAATACAAGTGTGTAATGCTTTCACACCTCTACCTTTTTGTTGGTAATTGTGTCCCCCTTCGGATTCAAAACATAATGTGAAGATATATTGTGGATATGTTTCATTTGTTGAACCCACAAAAATATTTTCAACAAAAACTGGACAAACTTTTAAACCACAACATGGTACATGAACATTTCGTTCTAAAACGCTCTTAGAATGTTGTGTACATCCATCTCCTCTACTATCCCCTAAACAGTTAATCGGCTATTGATAGCTGATAAAATTTTTCTGATATAAAAAATTTTTTCTGAGGGCATCACTTTCTAATATGAAAATGATCTTTGAGATTCAGCCAATTAACCTATAAATAAAAATCCAGTTGTTGCCCTTGTGGTTTTTGTGGTCGATTGACTGTTTTCACTTTGCTGATTGTTAAATTGACCAATAAGAACAATCAAAACTTTAATTTGTGTTACCATTAAAGAATACTCTGACTGTTTAAGAGATAATAAAATTTATCATAATTACAAAACAAACAACATCTTTTATATATCCATGCATCATGAGTAGGAACACTGTTTTTTAAATGTGATAAATGATTTTTATTATCAAAACTGTAGTGACTTGAGCATGTACCCAATAGAGCTGTCGCATCTGGTTGGTTCACTTTGATGGCTTTATTAACCTCATCAAAATCTAATTCCCAGATACCCAAAAGTTGACAAAGAGGACGAAATATAGTATTTTTACAATGTTGTAACTTTCCATTCACAAGATCAACAATTACACATCTATCATTATCATTAATAGTATTTTTTTCTTCAAACTCATCAATGGTTGAAGCCCACAAAGAACCCACATCAGATTGCACATCAAAATCTGATGATAACCAATCTATATCATTATCATCTTTTCTATCTAAAAATTCTTCGGAATTTTCAATAAATTTTTTTACATTGCTTAATGACTCCTCATTAAAATCAATACAATAGCTATTTTGATCAATATTTATCAAAGAAGTCGTTGTTGATGATGTGGGTATAGAAAAATTATCTGTATAAGTGTCATCATCAAGGGTTTCATATTCTTTATCAGGATCATCATAACCCACTTCCATACACATATATTTGTTATTGTTATTGCTATTATTATTCATTCTAAATATTTGTACAAAACATATAACATTAAATAATTAAATTATGTCTAT